GACCGGCTGTGTCCTGGCCTCGGCCCCTGGGTGCTCCCTGGTGGGACCCCCATTGCTAGGGCTCCCCTAAACAAAGCACAGGGGGCCCAGCCTCACAGCTAACTAGTCAGACTGAGGCTGAGCTTCAGCGAAGCACTGCAAACCCGAGGGATGCAAGGAGCCCTTTCAAAGGAAGACCAGAGATGCTGCGAGCTAGCCCTGTGTCCCGGAGCCCAGCACATCCTCTTGGAGAACGGCACACTCTTCCACAAAATGGCCTGTACAGATGGGTGGTCACCGCACAAATGACGCGTAGTGTCTCTAACTCTTAAAATAGTTTGCAGGGCATTATAAAAGTTCAAAACAAATCATTAGGTGCAGTAAGACTTCAGCTTCCCAAGAACACATGCGTCTACCTTGATTTGAGAGCCAAAATAATAATGCAGGGCACTGCCAGTTGGGGAAGCCAGAACGGTGTTTCCCCAGTTTTTGAAATATATTTCTTTCCTGTGCGGAAATGACGCAGGCGTCTGCCTTCCGGCGCCGGCTCCTGGGATGCGCCGGGGAGGGACACATGTAAGAGCTGCTGGGCCTCCCTGTGCGCCAGGAATTAAATCGCAGCGCTGTGAAGCCTTCCGCAGCCACTGCAGCACAAGTTCGATGCCTGGCCAGGGAGGGACCCCCATGGCGCTGCGCCTGGATTTCTGTCGACCTGCCTGTTCTGCTCCCCACTCTGTCTCTGGTGAAGCCTCTCACCCACCACACCTCTGACCTGTACCCCAGTTCCATAAGCGTAAATAAATAAATCTTTAAAAAAAAAAGTGTTCTCTATACATCTTTTTTTTTAAATATTATTATTGGCCCTCCCTGGTGGCGCAGTGGGTTAAAGCACAGCACTAAGAAGCTAAAGCCACTTCTGCGTGAGTTCAATTCCCACCTGCCCCGGAGGCGACCACATGGCGCAGCAGACCTCTCCTGACCGTCCGCTGCTCTCCTCAGCAGTGGACTTCATTGATCTGCCTGTTCTGCTCCCTGCTCTGTCTCTGGGGAATCCTCTCACCCTCCGCATGTCTGGCCTATACCCCAGTTCTGTACGAATAAATAAATAAATCTTTAAAAAATATATATTATTTACGTATGCATACAGCACGGAGGACCGGTGGCGAGAGGCTTCCCCAGAGACAGAGCGGGGAGCAGGCAGGCCGAAGGACGAGCACACCGCTGAGGGAGCAGCGGGCGGGTCAGGAGAGGTCTGCTGCGCCATGTGAGCTTGGCCAGGGATTGAACTCGGGCTGCGGTGGCTGCTGATAGCTCCACAGCTCTGGCTTTAGCCCCTGCGCCGCGAGGGGAGGCCCCGCAGTCGTGTGTTTTGAGTTTCATAGAATGAGAACTTCCCTACCGTGGGCTCCCGGGTTCTGACTCATTGTGAGCTATGTTTGGAGACAGGCTGTGGGGCTGAAGCCCTTCTGCCCGGCACCCGCCGCGGGCCTCAGCCCCGGGCCTCCCCAATTTGCCGGACTGCCTTTCAGGGTGGCGGTGTCTCCCAGTGTCCTCGCAGGCAGCGCGACCTGGAGCAGTGTGCACCTCAACATCACAGCTGGTGACTCACCCACTCGGGGGCTGGGGCGAATCCTGGCTTCAGGTCAGCCTTGCAGGTCACCGAGTAACTCATGGAGGCTGGACCCTGTTACAGGAGGGATGGGGACCTCGGGCGCCGGTCACGCTAGGCTTTGGAGTCCTTCTGGTCCTTCCCGGTCCCCTGCTTGGAGCTCAGGCTGGGCTGACACCGGCTGCCCAGGGGCTGTGCTCCCGCCAGCCCAAGTGTGGAAAGCCAATCACTGGCCCCAGCACGGCCCTCCCTGGCCCTCCCTGGGAGCGGAATGAGAGCCACGGAAGTGAGGTGCCCGCAGGCGGGGTTGCGGGAAGGGGAAGGGGACTCGCAGGGCAGCTTTACAGTGGCTGGTGGGGCTCAGCTCTGCCTTTTGCCACATGGGGACATGGACCCAGCATGGCTGGCTCTCTCCAGTCTTCAAGAGGCTGAAATCCAAACTTAAAAAAAATTTTTAAAGAAGATTTTATTTATTTTTGCATAGAAGAACTGGGGTCAGGCCAGAGGCGTAGGGGTAAGAGGACTCACCAGAGACAGAGTGGGGACAGAACAGGCGGATGGATGGAAATCCACCACTGAGAGGGCAGCCACGGGAGCAGCTGACCCATGGTGGGCAGCCCCCTGGCCAGGGACAACTCTCTCAGCAGCTGCCTCAGGGCAGCCTCACGACTGCGCTTTAACCCCTGCGCCACCAGGGAGGCCCGGTTCACAGGTACTACATTCGCTCACAATGCTGAGCTGCCAGCTCCAGAGACTTTCATCCTAAAAAGCTGAATCTCTCTACCCGCTGACCTGCCTCCCACCCCGGAACCGCCCCTCGAATCTGTACGGTTCGTCTTGGGAAGCTGGAGTCTTTCCATCTGTGTCGCTGGAGGTCTCCTGTGGCAGAACCCCTCCTCTGCCGGCCAACCTCGCTGACCTGCGGGAATTTGCCCACTCTCGGGGTGAGCATGGCCCCAGGCTGCTGCTCGCTTCGCCCACCAAGGGGCTCCGCCTGCCACGTTGGCTGCCATGAACAATGCTGCTATGAACTTGGGTGTCCGAATATGTCTTTGTGACCCCACTTTCAATTCTTTGGGGTCTAAACCCAGAAATGAAATAGTTGGATCAGATGGTAATTCTATTTTTAATTTTCTGAAGAACCTCCAACTGTTTCCACAGCAGTGGGTCACTTCACATTCGGTCAGCACTTGTAATTTTTTTTTTTTAAGATTTATTTATTTGTGCATACAGAACTGAGATTCAGGCCAGAGGCTCAGGGGCGGTGAGAGGCTTCACCGGAGACAGAGTGGGGAGCAGAACAGGCAGATCGACGAAGTACACTGCTGAGGGGAGCAGCGGGCGGGTCAGGAGAGGTCTGCCGCGCCATGTGGTCACCTCCGGGGCAGGCGGGGATCGAACTCATGCGGAAGTGGCTTCAGCTTCTCAGTGCTGCGCTGTAACCCGCTGCGCCACCAGAGAGGGCCAGCAGCACTTTTCTGCGGTTGCTGCTTTCCACTCTAGAGTGCTTTTCAGCTTTAAAACAATACGGAGATTGTCCACCTCGAACTTAAAATGGACAATAAGTAATAACAGTAAATGATCAGAATACTCTCGTCTAAATCTCTTGGTTGATATTTAAATCAAAACATAGAAATGGGCCTCCCTGGTGGTGCAGGGGTTAAGTCTCAGCGCTATCAAGCTATTGCCAGCCACTGTGGTCAGGGAGTGACCCACATGGTGTAGCAGACCCCTCCTGGCTCCCAGCTGCTCCCCTCGGCAGTGGATTTCAGTAGATCTGCCTATTTTGCTCCCCACTCTGTCCACATCTCTGGGCTACACCCCAGCTCTTGCATGCATAAAAAAGTAAAACTAAATCTTTAAAAAAGAGAAAAGAAAGAAGCCAGACAAAGGAGCACAGTGCTGGCTGATTCTGCGTACAGAAGGTATGGCAGGGGTACAGAGGCCTGCTTACCGGCCTTGGCCACAGAGAAGGAGGCGGAGCTGTTATTTAATGGGTACAGAGTTTCAGTGCTGCATGAAAAAAAATCTGCCTGGCTGTTGCACAATACCTTCCTTACTGTCCTTACCACCAGGGAACAGTACACTTTAAAATGGTAAATTTGTATGTCCCTCCCCCCAAAACAAAACAAGACAAAAGAAAGCTGCATTAATAGCTTACCAAACCATCTCTAGAAGGCAGGGAGGTCCCTTTTCTAGAGCTGCTGGAATTCTTGCCTCTGGAGAGCACCTGCCCAGGGCAAGTTGTGCTGGGGGTGGGAGGAGGGCTGGAGGAGTAGGGGCTGGAAGGAGTGGGGGCCGGTGGGGGGTAGGGTGATTAAAATCCCAATCCCTCAGCTCTCCTGTCTGAGGTGGTTTCCTGCTCTTACCTGACTTAGGTAAGAATTCCTCACAGCTTACCTATGGGAAGTGATGACAGAATTTGCATTTGGGGTCAAATGGTGCCCATACCCTGCCCAACTTTGGGAATCTACCTCTGGGGGACGCCATAGGCTGCAGAGATTTTCAGAGCAGCTGGCATTCCTCAGATCAGAGTCCCCTTGCCAGACACGCCTGAGCAGGTGTCCTTTCTGTGTTCAAGCAGAAAGCATGTTCTGGAATCAGGGAGTCAATTTTCAAAGCGAAGAGAAATGGGTAAAAGCCCACAGAATGGTGAGCGGACCGTGTCAGCTCTTTCCTCCGGAGTTGCTGGGGACCAAGCAAACCCGTCGGGCATCTGTATTTAAGGAACTCCCAATCGCCCCCATCTTTGACCCTGTCCATTTACCTGTCCTCCCCACAGAGGCCTGCGGCTACGTCGTGCCCTAATAAGGCCGAGGAAGGGTGGGTGAGTGCAGGGGCTCTCGAGTGGGTCCACGTACACGGATCTGGGCTCTTTCTCCCGCTGTGACTTAGTACCTGCGCGACGGAGCAGCGGTTCCCGATTCGGGAGCTGGTCCCAGTCTCTGCAATGGAGCCGGTTCGTTTCTGCCCTCTTCTCCCACGGAGGCGGAGGGGGGGC